GTAAAAGGCTTTGGGACCTTCACAGCTAGCGGCAAGAATTATCGCGTGGCAAAGAAAAAGGTGGCAGCGATTGCACTAAAAGGAATTCACAACCTGCAGGCTGAAAGAGCCAATTCACAGTTGCCTCAGCTCCCTGAATCACTATCTTCCCTCTGAATGTTCCTTCTGTATCTGTTGTATGATTTATAATGAATGATTTGCTTGTTGGATTTTATTATAGAAAATTATGTTTTTAAAGAAGGAAGAACTTTCTTTGTTATTTTATATGCAGAGAAGACATTAGTTTTATGTGATACTGCTCCGCAAAAGTGATCAACTAGGAAATTATGACACAGGCTTTGAGAATGCCTGAAAATGTGTACTTTTTTCATGCTTTTGTAATATGGCCGTAATTTCTGAATGGAAGAATGGAAGCAGCGGTTCTTAACCTTTTACTACCACAAACCCTCCAGGAAATGGTTTTTCCCTCCAGTCCCTCCCCTTGGGTTTCCAAGGTCAATAAGTACAGGAAATGGGAAGGCCAAGTACCCCATTGGAAATTTCTTTTCCTTGCTTTATGGGGAGGTTACCCCCAGGTTAAGAACCACAGCTTTAGAGTGTAGAAAATATATGGTTAAGTGTCACAATGTTTGTATGATTATGGAAACTATTGGCTTTTGACAAGCTATTTGAAAATTTTTGATAAGGTAAGAAAAAAAATGTTTTATAAAAATTAATCATGAAATTATTTAGGATAACATTCCCAGGTCTTATATAAAAATTATTCAGTAAATAAGTTGGTTAGGAAAGGTTTTCACTGAGGTGCCTATACTATGCATATGATTCATTGCTTATATATTATTAAAAAGTGCAAAGAGCTTAGCTTAATGTGTATCTATAAATGCACTTTCCTGTTATATAACAAACATTTTAACTACAGGATGACTTTTCCTTTTGGCTTTTCATATATTTGGGAAGCCTATTCAAAAGAGAAAATCTTGAGACAATTAAACCAAAAGACACCACTGGAACATGGTATCCCAATGCCGACGGGTATGATGTCTACGTACATGCTATGCCTACTGTGAGTGACTTGTTTGATTGTTTTTACACATAGATGGCAACACGTACTAAATCACCAATGAGCCAGTTACGAGTACTGCCTGTCTCGCCCATTTACCCTTTTCTTTGAATTACGAAATATTTTACGTTATCTTATTTTGCTGTTACTAATGTTAAAAAACATGATAATTATAATAAAATATAACACCATCGATATTCATAGCACTAGTGAAAAATATGTTTTTCCCACCATTTCAAATCAGGCACTAGGAGAGCCATCTATGGGCAGACATTTCACGAAAAATATAGAAAATGAGCACAGCATTTTCCCCGTTTTTTGTTTATTTTCCCTGGCAGCATTGGGATATACATGAAAAAACTTTTTTTTTTCATTTTCATTTTCATTTTCATTTATTTTCATTTTCATTTATTTTTTTTAATTTTTATTTTATTTATTTATTTATTTATTTATTTTTTATTTTATTTTTTATTTATTTATTTTATTTTTTTAATTTTATTTTTTTATTATTTATTTATTTATTTATTTTTTATTTATTTATTTATTTATTTTTTATTAACCAATGGTTTCATTTTTAGTCTAGTAGATGAATATGAACAAGCATATTAAGGATAAAACTTTATATTATTTTTTTCATAAAGGCATGCAGGATTTTTTCTCGGAAATGGTAGAAAACATGCTTTGGGGACATCTTTCCTCAATTAGCAATATTGTTAAAAAAAATGCATAAACATCCTATGTTAGGTTTGGTTAAGTAGGTTAGGTTAGGTCTGGTTTAGTTTGTTTAGGTTTAGATCAAGTCAAGTCAAGTCAAGTCAAGTCAAGTCAAGTCAAGTCAAGTCAAGTCAAGTCAAGTCAAGTCAAGTCAAGTCAAGTCAAGTCAAGTCAAGTCAAGTCAGGTGTAGAGAAACATCAGGCATCTAGGAAGGTTGATTTTTAGACTTGGAAAATATTGACATTGGGTTATTAGTTCAGGTGTAAGGAAACATTGGACATATAACATTTCTAATATTTCGACCTTTAGAAAAATGAACAATAGTTATTTTTCTTTAATGCAAGAGACATTGGCTAAATAAAGAAATAAAGAGCAGAATATATATATATATATATATATATATATATATATATATATATTATATTATATAGTCACGGACTATATATATATAAAGATATATATATATATAGATATATATATATATTGATATATATATATATTGATATATATATAGAGAGAGTGAGTGAGTGAGTGAGTGAGAGAGTGAGTGTCAGTATGGGTGCCTGTACAAAGGTTTTGGAATACCGTTTTACTGCTGGAGCATCTTTGTTATATAATAGTTTGCTGTAACTATAGAGACAGCCTTTGGAATGATTCTACAAACCAAATAAACATTTGTAATATGTGCATTGTGTTTGTATTCATCATATTATAGAATTTAAAAGAATTTTATTTTCAGTGAAACAATGTTTTATTGCTGCTGCTGTTGCTTTCAAGATCTGTCACTTATTTTGTTTGTTAACCAAAATTAATATCAACAATCTATATAAATAAGCATTGATGATTCGTTTTCGCAATATAATATCGTTATTTAAAGATCTGATCTGTCTGGGAGGAGCAATTAAAAGGAATAAAGAAAGAGGAGCCGCACTAGCACTATTCACCCGTAGAGGTAAATCCCGCAGTATAGGAACTCTCGCAGATGGCAATTCTGACTTGGGAAAAGTAATGAGCATCGGCATATAAATTTTTCAATTATGTTTCCCGATGATCGCCAATACTGGACCCCCCCCCCCCCCCCCCCGTCTCTTGCCCGTTGATGTCGTGGGGGCATAGGAGGTGGAGACTGGGACCCAATGATGGGGAACTCCCGAACCTTGGGACTCAGCCCTCGACTCAACTAACTTTGCATGGTCTTTTTTCCCCTCTTACTTTATCGTTTCTGTCCCTTCACCAACCCTTTGTTCTATTCACTTTCTAAGGCGTGAGAGCTGTGCTGAAAGGATGAAAGGCTGACTTTGTGCCAGTCCTGAATGGCCTGAGGGAGCCATGGGCACGGTATTCCCCTGCTTTAGTTGCCTAGCCCTTACCCCTCAAGGGGACCCTGAGGGGTGGGCTGTTTGTCTTCCCAATATATCTTTCCACCATTAGGGGCAATGAGGCTTGCCCCTTCATCAAATAGCCCCAACAATTCAAACTCCCCCAATTCCCTGACCCCTCTCTCCTTTGACCACGGCTCCGAACACTACAATTAATACCCCCTCCTCAATGCCTACTAGTACAGTATCCACCCTAGTCAAAACTCAACCCCCCAGAGACATTTCTACTCACCCAACATGCTCAACTTCGACACCTCTGACCCCACAACCTTCTTCATCAACTACCCCATCCTCCCTTATTACTACTTTACAGCCTTATTGCCCACCTCTCCATAACACTACCTCCCTCAACACTACTGCCTCTTCTACACGCCCCCGTCCTTCTACTACCCCCATCTCTACAAAAATCTTAAATACTCTATATAGCCCAACCAAATGGGACCGATTTTTCGTGGTCCTACTCTGACCACATCCTTCTCCTAAAACAAGTAGGCAAAGTCTCTTTCCGTAGCCGACCCGACTGCTCCCGTCTCGTCACAGTAACATCTGAAAACCAAGCTATAGCCTTATCAAATCTAACTAATCTGTATGGTAACCCCATCCCTACAGAACCCCATCCAACCCTCAATACTTGCACTTGAATTTCTATCTCCCCAGCAAATTGCCCAATCTAAAAAAAAAATTGGTCAGATTGTGGAGAAGACTTACTCGCCTGCGTCACGGACTATGATGCGATATCAGTACAATGCTATTCCATTCCTCCCAGAGGTCATCGTAAGAACCCCACTAACATTGTCAAATTACATGACCTTGCCATTAATGTTTACATCGGCGGAGAGTCCCTTCCTGTCCGACCATATCAACCTCTTCCTCGTCCGTGGCAAATTTGTTGGCATCTAGGACATCCAGCCAAATATTGCCGTTCTACAGCCAGATGCCCGCTATATTCCCAACCTGGCCATACTCGATCAAACTGCTCTGCGTAATCACGCACATGTGCAAAGTATGGCGGCCCCCCATACTATAATTTATAGGGGCTGCCCCACCTACAAATTTGAGTGAGGTAGCATCTCTGGCTTCACATAATGAGTCCAAAGCTGAATCTGACAGGGAGCACGTCGACGAGGTCTTTCTCTTACTCCCTATTCCAGTAATGTCGCTCTGCCACTCCAAATACCTCCGAAGCTCCTACACCCTCTCCTGAACCTATCCCTCCTCCATCTAACTTCCCCTCTTCTACCTCCTACCTTCCCCAGTCAAATTCTAATGCCATCCTAAATCCAGACACTCCAATCTCTACTACAGCCCCAACACCTTCCCTTTTCCTCCCCGCACTACCCACAACAGATTAAACGTTCCACCACCTCTTCCCCTACTACACAATCACCTCCACTTTCCTTTGCCCCTATTCTTCAGACACCAGTTTTCTCTTCCCCCCCTCACAAAACTCCCCAACCAACTCCATTATAGAAACTCTTGAAGATATTCAAAACTCTCTACTCGAGTCCTAAACTAGACACTAAAACTAAAACTCCCGCACCCTCCACACTCAAAGTGACTGCCGATATCCCCCCCCCCCCCCCCCCCGACTCTAGCCCCACCTACATTCTATCCCTTCCACTCCCTTCTGGATACACACGCGAATCCCTTATATCACAACTATCCCCCTCCCCAGACCCTCCACCTCCTGATACAACACCACCTGCCCTCTCTCATTCCTTACCCCACCCTCTAGCCCCTTCCTTTTTAAATTCTCCAACACGTACTGCAACCGTTATCACTCTTTATACTGTGTAGTAATTGTGTAGTAAGCAGTATAGGACACGTGGCAGTTGGCTAGCCATGTGGCTTGGGTACGCCATGACGCGCCCACGCCTCGACGCCCCCTCGCCCTCCAAGCCATCGTCTCGGGTACTTAAGGCCGCGTTTTGACCCGGTCACCAGAGTCAGTCGCCAGAGCCTGTCAGCGTCACGTCAGTTCACCTCGCGGTACCTTTGCCCCGCTGGGCTGGGCCCGCCGTGACCACAGGCGACCCAGCGCTAACCTAAGACTTGTCTCGTTGTGTTAACCTTACCCCGTGTGCTAGACTCTTATAGAATAAAGAGTGTTAAGCCACTCAAGCTTTTACTACTCCCTGTCACCAATGTTTAGAGGTTTTATATACCCTTCACACTCTTAAACCAACGAAAGTATAACTATCCTTCATTGGAATATTCGCTGTTTCCGTTCTCACAGACCCGACCTTCGTCATTTCCCTTTCCACCTATAACCCATCCATTATATGCCTTCAAGAGACTTTTCTTATACATCCTCCTATACCAATCCCCAATTACCATTTTGTCTCTTCCCCACACTCCCTTTATGTCTCGCCCATATTTATCAATCAAAACGCCTTATGTCATACCTCCCTTTCAAACCACCGTCCCTTACACAGTTATTCGCATCTTTCTTCACCGCTGGATCACATCCAACCACCTTTCCTCATAGTAGGTGATTTTAACTGCCGACACACTTTTAGGGGTGATTATATCACCAACTCCCGTGGCCGATCCCTAGAGAGCTTCCTCTCCACATCTGACCTTTTTATTTTTAATTCAGATCGCCCCACACACTTTGATACACGCATGCAATCTTTTCATGCATTGACCTCTCTCTATGCTCCCCTTCTCTTCATTTAGATTTTCATTGGTCAGTTCTTGACCTTTTTCCCTATAGTGACCACTTTTCAGTTCTCCTTTCTCCTACTTCATATGTACCACTGCCTAACTCCCCACGCTGGTGCTTTGATAGATCCGACTGGCGTACTTTCACTTCACTCTCTGCTATTCATATCCCTCCATCCTCCCTCTAATCCATTTCAGAAATGATACAGTGTTTCACAACTACCATACAGCTATTCCTCGAACCTCAAGACCCTATACCAACAAATGTGTTCTGTTCTGACTCTAAGGCCAATCTCGCCAGGACTGACATCGTCCTCGGACGCCGAGTGGTTGAAGGTGGGTCTTTACCATGCCACATACCTGCCTCCTCTATCATGGAACAAAGGACGTGGGGAACTCTGCGATGCTGCCATTGACTCGGATGAGACGTCCCGGGCTGCGCTTCCACCAACGATGCGGGCGTACTCGCTGCGCACTCGCACGAGGTTGGTGCTTCACCCGCCATTCGCGCCACGCCCACTTGACTCGAATGCGACTTTATAAGCCATGGCCAATGACATATGAGCCGCCAGAGACAGTGTTACGAAATAATATGAACATGGTTATAAGAATAACCAAAGAACGTATTTTTAACTGTCTCGTTACTTGGATGGCGTTGAAGTCTCCAAGAAAATTAAAGATTTATTTATTTTCTAAGTTTAATATCGTGAATAGTTACAGCCCGAAATGCACAGTTTTTGCGTAAATTGTACAGACAAGCCAGACAGAAAGCACGTCGACGAGGTTTTTCTCTTAATCCCTACTCCAGTAATATTGCTCATTCTACCACTTCCCCTACTTCCCAAGCTCCTACACCCTCTCCTAAACCTACCCCCCTCCATCTAACTCCCCTTCTTCTACCTCCTACCTTCCCCAGTCAAACTCTTTTGCCATCCTAAATCCAGGCACTCCAATCTCCACTACAACCCCAACACCTTCCCCTCTCCCTCCCCGCACAACCTGCAATAGACAGAACAAACGTTCCACCCCCACTTCCCCTACCACACAATCACCTCCACCTTTACTTAATCTAACCCCTTTACATTACGTCACCCGACCTTAACCCATTCACTCACCAATTCCTTTGCCCAGCTTTGACAACTAACCACTAACTTAACCACCCTTCACTAACATTTACTATGGTGCTACATGACCTTAGATGTCTAGCACATTTATTTTGCTTTTAACCATTAACTATTAACCTTTCCTTTATTTATTTGTTTCAAATATTCTATCTCCTCGGCGACGCTTCCAAGGTGTCAATATAACCCCTGCAGAGAGTAATGGTCATTACATATTTTGTTTGTTTTTTCTCCCCCTCTCTTTTTTTCATGATTGTTCGGGTCCTTTGGATTGTTTGGACTACCGAACTATCGGATTGGTCTTCCGACGCTTACTTGGCCTGGTGGTCTTTTTCGGGTATAAATACCCATGGTTTTGTGAAGGGAACACACACTCGTGTTTGTACTTTTGATGAGGCAACACCTTGTTAAAACGCAGTAACAACAAATACAAAGTCTTGTGCCACTTGAGCTACCCTGGAGCCCGGGGCCTCTCGTCTCGCTTGACATTGTTGTTCCTGAGTTAATTAAAGTAACCAAAA